ATTGCACACACGTTTGATGTTCCCTGGTGACAGTGTGGTGAAGGTCATCATCATCATCATCATCTTTATTTAAAAACACGGTAAATACATTAGGCATTAACAATTTAATATCAAGCTACAACTTAATCTTCTTAATCTTCTATAATTCAAAATATTGCTAACTATTACTAAATAAATTAAAGCCTGTTTTACATGAATGCCGTGTCGGAATTAATTAAGAATCGTCGGAAATTAGTCAGAGATCTTGCTTGCCTAGCAGCTGAGGGAAGACTGTTCCAGAGGACTGCACCACTATAGGCAAAGCTATTTTTGTAATGGTTAGTACGTGGTAATGGTATTGCAAGCTTATTATCAGAATCGCGCAAATTGTAAGAAGTAATCACATCACTCCCCTGAATGAATTTCGAGGACAAATAATTCGGTGCAAGGCCGTTTAAGGACTTATAGACCATCTCAGCCTTTAATTTTTGACGTCGAGTTTCTAAATTGTCCCAGCCTAATTCTTTAAATAGTTAGTTAGAATGGCTAAGGACGAGGACTGCAGCACGATTTTGAAGTCTCTGTAATTTGTCAGATAATGTTTTGGCACAGTTACCCCAAACAACACTATAATAGTCGAAGTGCGATTGAACTAACCCATGATAGATATTATGTAGAGTTGCAGGAGGAACACAGTGACTTATTCGTTTAATAGATCCAATATCAGAAGAGATTTTTTTAGATATAGCGTTGACATGATTACTCCATGTTAGATTTTCATCACTTAATACACCAAGAGACTTGATAAAAATCGACCCTGTTTAATTGTGCACCATTAATTTTTAAGTCTGGGAGAACGGATAGACTATTCAATTTTTGTCTTGATCCGATTAACATAAATTCAGTTTTTTTCATATTGAGAGTCAATTTATTGGCAATGAGCCAATTGTTCATATTTAACAAGTCCTGATTTAAAGAAGCCTCAAGGGAGCAGATGTCATTGTCAGCATATGTTAGGTGAGTATCATCCGCATCCATTCTTGGTTGCGAATTTGAAAAACAATTAGGTAAGTCATTAATGTATAAGAGAAACAGCAAAAGCCCCAGTATTGTCCCCTGGGGCATCCCAAAAGTTAAAGTGCAGCTTTTAGAAAGGACACCATTGACAGCACATTTTTGCTTACGATTTTCTAAGTAAGAAGAAAGCAATTCGTAGGCAATTTCTTTGACTCCATATGAATATAGTTTGGATAATAGAATAGAGTGACTGACTGTGTCAAATGCCTTTTTTAGATCTAAAAAGACAACAGCGTTAACATAACCACGATCTATGATAAAGGCCCAATTATCAGTGGCTTCGAGCAAAGCGGTTACAGTTGAGTGAAAGGATCAAAAACAAGACTGATATTTTGACAAAATATTATTTTCGGATAATAGGAAGAAAGCTGATTATAAACTATTCTTTCGAAGACTTTTGCTATTGAATTGGATGATGATTGTTCATATCACTTCTATCACCCTGCTTGAATATAGGCGTAACTTTGGCCAATTTCCAGTCATCAGGGAATGTGCCGGTAGTTAAACAGCCATTAAAAATAATTGAGATATATGGCGAAATAAGGTCTGCACATTCACGAATAAGCCGAGTTGATAGCTTATCGAGACCAGCCCCTTTAGACTTATTTTGTTTATTCAGTAGCTTTAAAACCTGTCCACTATCAGTAGGGGGGAATTCGAATCTATTGTTAACGCCTTTGACATATTCCCGATGACAGTGGTCATTGTTATTAGATCATAAAAGGTTCGAGCTAAAACCGCAAATACTGGCCAATTTACGTTCACAGTTTTGCGTTCGAAATTCACGCACGAGAATTTGTCACAAAACGAGGTCAACACGGTCAACTCCAGCCTTGTGATTCACTCAAAGGCTAGAATACTGAGCTTACAACTGTGAAATGGTGTGTCCAGTATTGAGGGGAGTAACTGATTAAAATTTTCCGGCTGCAATCAAAACTGCATTTGACCTTCAGTAGCTGAGACATTCATTTTCAAATAAGCCTATCAAAAGTTGGTAACCTGAGTAGGGCCTGGGAAGAAGGTAACCTCCCCTTCCCCTCTCCCTAGACCCCACTCGGCTGATTCTGCTCAATCACCGTTTTTTTTTTCTTCACAAACGCCACTGAGTGGTCTGTTCACAGGCTTTTTCCTCATATTATATAAGAATGTTATGTGTGTGAATAATAGCTTATGTGACTTAATCTTCAAGTTATTGGAGTTGTAAATATTTCATTGATTCTTTTTAACTCGCCTTTGGGAAACAAGTTTAATTTTGTCCTCAGTCTGCTCAAGTCTGGCATTGTCATCCCTTTCTGAGTCTTTCTTTGACTGAGTATTTTGAAACACTGATAGGGTGAATGAAGTGCAGGTGGAACATAACAGGAAACTCTCTGCTCATGGGCAGTTTGGTCCCTCTCCTCGGGGCACAATGTGGCGATAAATTACAAAACAAAACTTACATAAGCTTACTAAATGAAATAAATAAATGATCCAAATGGTCGAGACAGCAGCAAAAATGTAGAAATTTTCAAAAATAATGCGATTTTTTTTAATTTCAACAAACATTTTTCGACGTTACATCCGTCATCGTCAGTGTGACGGTTATGAAAGTTTACAGCGATAAAACGTGCCTGTTACAATTTATACGTTACATTGCGTTGGAAAACAAAACGCTGCATAAATTTTAAAGTTATCGGAATTAAGAAGTGCCCGTTCACCCATCTATAGAGAAAGCGTCAGATTGATGTGTTTTACCTGTTGATTAAGGTCAGGCTTTTCCCTCTTAATGTACATAGACTCCTTAAGCTTAACCCTTTCACTGCCAGAGTGTTTGAGGAGGTTTTGTAAGATGACTCTAACTTTTGAGTCTATGGACGAAATCCTATGATGTGACCATTCAGATGAAAGCTCTCTGCCTGTACTTTCACGTGATGCCATTTGTTTCTCAAAATTTTAGAAAACGAAATTTGGAACTTTGGTCGAAATTTGCCTTTTGCCACATTTGGCAGTGAAAGGGTTAACTTGATACCTAGCTAGGGGCAGAACCCAAAATCTTAAAGCAGTCTCAGTTACAGGAGGTACGACACTCGGACTCTAAAGTCTGTAAATGCTTATAAGCGTGAGAGGATCTGTCCGATGACAAGTGCTCGCGCANACATTGCGTTGGAAAACAAAACGCTGCATAAATTTTAAAGTTATCGGAATTAAGAAGTGCCCGTTCACCCATCTATAGAGAAAGCGTCAGATTGATGTGTTTTACCTGTTGATTAAGGTCAGGCTTTTCCCTCTTAATGTACATAGACTCCTTAAGCTTAACCCTTTTACTGCCAGAGTGTTTGAGGGGGTTTTGTAAGGTGACTCTAACTTTTGAGTCTATGGACGAAATCCTATGATGTGACCATTCAGATGAAAGCTCTCTGCCTGTACTTTCACGTGATGCCATTTGTTTCTCAAAATTTTAGAAAACGAAATTTGGAACTTTGGTCGAAATTTGCCTTTTGCCACATTTGGCAGTGAAAGGGTTAACTTGATACCTAGCTAGGGGCAGAACCCAAAATCTTAAAGCAGTCTCAGTTACAGGAGGTACGACACTCGGACTCTAAAGTCTGTAAATGCTTATAAGCGTGAGAGGATCTGTCCGATGACAAGTGCTCGCGCACGCGCTTGGTAAAGTGTCGGCTTGTTTCGCCAACGTAACAAGCATTACAGCTTGCCCAGGAAAATTGGTACACGATTCGCACACGAAGCCTGTCACGAAACGGATCTCATGTTCACGTTGAAAAAGTTCTTAATTTTAAAAGTAGAGTAAACAAACTTGATCTCGATGAGTTTACAGAATGCTTGATGAGTTTGCGCTCCCTTTGTTGTGCAACACCCGAAAAATGCCCGATGTAGGGGATCTTGAAATAGTGCGTAGCGAACTCTTGCTGCTCGACACCTGTTGAAGGTTGTGTGTCGTTTCCTTCTACTGCTTTCGTGACTAACGGTGGAGTAACATGTCTAATACATGCTTGAGATAGAGATTCTAGTATAAGGATTCCCATGTTTCCTACAGCCCATGTATGTTACCACCAAAGATATGGAAGACAGACTTGTTTTTCAGGAAAAACTCATCCCGGAAAGAAATGTTACCTTGTTGAATAAAAATGAAAATAACGCAGAGAAGGAACACCTTTTAAGCATTTTCCGCAGAAACAAAACTGACAGTCGTTCCTGTTTAGGCCTTGATAACACTTTGGACAAACATCTTGGCCATGAAGTTAGCATATTGGGAAGAAACGACCCTTGAAATCTTAGAACCAGGGTAACATCTTAATTGGAGTCATCAAAGAAAGGGGCATCCTGTTACAGCAACAGGGACCACAAATAAAACAAGTCACGTTCTTCTAATGGAAAAAGAGTTATTCAATCTTGTTCGAAAAAAAAAAAATAGATAAAAGAATCTTAGCACTTTTTATGAAACCTCCAGATTTTTTTTCATGAGTATGCAGATTTTCCTTCATCAGGCAGGGGGTTGGCAGGTCTGCTAGCCGTTGTTCTCGATTCTTCAGAGTAATAAAATGGAATGGACATGGGTTTCGACTATACTATTTCGACCTGTACCAAGAAATATACGGCTAGAATTCACCAGAAACGAAAAGAGACTACTTCAATGTAAGTAATTCAACATTACTAAATAAAAATGTAACAGTTTCTATAGTCGAAACCCATGTTTCCTGTAGCCCATGGTGGTAATAGTAATTATTAAAAACTGAATCATTGAATAATGCAATTCTAGAGCTCTGATTGGCTTAGCCATCATACCATGCTCTCCAAATATGTTAACTGTACGCGTCTGCTCAAGCTGAAAATCGGTTGTTTTTACAAACAAAGTCGAGAAGAATTCTGTGGGCGTTTTCAATAAAACAATTATTCCACTCGCGCTTGTTGGATATGAGATGATTATAGCCATCTTGGACCTACGCGCCTCGTTGGCTATCTACCATCCCATATCCAACGCGCAGTCCTGGAATGCTTGTTAAATATTTAACACAATAATAAAAACATTAGCATAGAAAATGGCAAAATTTAATTATTCAAAATACAATTCACTCTTTCCCTCTCTCGTCTTCGCTTCCGGTATTGTATAAATAGTTGAATGCATTTTGCACAAATTCCGATAAAATAGTTATTTCAAAACTTTATGTACTATGTACTTTATTATGTACATTATTCAATAAATGCAATGACGATGAGAGGTATTTTAAGGTCTCTTTAAATTAAAAGTTCCTTTTTCAAACGTATTTAACATTGAAAGTCTTGCTCCATTTGAACACTTTGTACAATTCCTATCATTTGATTTACAAATGTTGCCCTTTTTAATGTCTGGGTATGGATATCTGAACCCCGGGATTTTACATGAAGCGCACTCCATTTGATGCAACCAGTAATTTTTACATTCCTTTTGTAAGCAGCAATATCAAGTCTAAATTTGTGAACAGATCGATTTTTTTTTAGATCGATCGATTGTCACGTAATCCGAAACAAAATTGTCACGTAATACCGACTTGCCTCACATTTGGGCTTACAGAGTGACTGCCGGATTAGGTGCTGTTACACCTTCTGTGATGAATGACTAGAAATGCTTTCCATTACTATCTGGACCTATTGAAATAGGCAGCTGCGTTCGATGGCGCATGTTCTTGTCACTAGAGGAGTACTTGAGCACTGCTGTAGGTATTTTCATCGCCTTTGGCGCAGAACGTTGTTGAACGTCAGCGCCATGGGCCACATCCGCTTCGCCAGAATACTGAGGTTTACTCCTGGTAATAAGTCCTTTAAGCTTTCCATCGTCTGTTGTACAGAACGTCGTTGCAATTGGAATTGACTGTGGCGGCGGACACATACATCCGACTGCCCAAGAACCTTCGGGTTTCTTTATGTTACCGCTATTCTTAACATCTACTCGTTTCTTACAATTACTTGTCTCTAAAACCTCTCCAGAAGAGCTCGCAATGACAATACGTGACTCTTTTGGTCGCGACAGTGAAGTTATTTTAACACTGCTGCTCTCTGGGGCAGTTTGTTGGGGTTGAGATACAATCGTGGGCTTGCTGTTACTGGGTTCAGTTGAGGTCTCCTTGTGCTTCGATGCAGGTGCTGTCCTGGGTGATGTGACATCGCTATGTCTCCTGGATTTTTCTGGTGGCTTTCGGAGTCCCTGGCCCTCCACAGCCATACTCATACCAATATATGGGGGCGCTGTAACTTGTGGCTACAAAAGAACAAACGAAAACTAACCTCTCGAGTCGACTAAAAACATTTTTCATTTTGTCCTGCTAATGTTTCGCCCGAGAGATGAAAGGAATAAGAATTTATTACTTAAAAGCACGATCATGCAGAAAGGTACCTGCTTAAACGCTAGCTCGTATCTTCCTGTTTCACAATTCTTGTCATCTCGTCGATCGAGGACCACTGAAAAAGGCAAATTATATGCACCATATTAAACACGAAGATTGTTTCACTGGAATATACATCGAGAGGTGGGATAAAAAAAGGTGTGTCTCTACCGATCAATCCTTGATGAAATGTTTGCCCCAAATTTTTGGATCAAAATCATATGAAAAGGAAGGGATGAATCTCGCGAAGGGATTTAAATAGCAGATTTTCGTCTCCCTTTGAGTGTTGAGGACTGAGGACTCATATTTCACCCATACGTCGTCGCTTAAAGTTCTGCATACTTAACCATTTAAAATAAACCAAGCACCTTCATATTGTGCTTTTGCACATTGAAAGTCACCATGGCTCTTATGTGGTTGTCTGTTTTATTTCGTACAATCTCAAATATAGCCTTAACTACGCCCATACTGGTCTTCCTTAGGGGTTTAATTTTACCGTCCATTTAAAATGGGAATTACCGCCCTCCACTCAGGTTGGGTATTAAAACCATTATCACTCTTATTCTCTTTATAGATTATTAATGATATGAAGAATTAGAGTAAGAAGAGTTTCAAAGCTCTGCATAGTTATCACATGCCATTATCATCTCTACTNGGTGGTATTTTTTTTATTTTCTTTGTGTTTTATTAAAATCCAACCGTGATGGTCAACATAAAAAAAGTGTTGGTGGGTTTTAATTGAAACTGCGAAAAATCTCTGGCTTCCCACTTTGCGTCTATTTGTGCGCCCCCCCCCCCCCCCCCCTCAAGCGAGCGGCAAATAAATCTTTGGTTCTCCTGAGGTTCCTTGGGTGTCCTGTCGCTGTATAGGCATTACAATATAGATTTATGTTTGCGTCATTCTTAATGGTCGCTACAAGTTTCGCACATTGTGGCGCACGCACAACAGGCCAAGAAAGACCCAAATCACAGAGAACTCGTGATTTTAGAATTCCCTTGAAGTCCTTTATCCCGCAAGTACTAATTGACCAAATAAAAGGGTCTGTAATTAGCAAAATGTCCATGTCAGATCATCGTTTCACGGATGAGGTTTAACAGCCCAGCATCTGCTCGTACTATTTTGCTTCCAATTTGTAACTTCTAAATAAGAATTCGTTCGAGGTAGTGCTCGTACCTTTCATGGTGTCCTCTAAGACTTGAGCGCACAGTTTTCTAGTAACAGCCGTGCTTGGTCCCATTGTAGGGCTACAGTTTATTTCCAGCTACAAGAACGAAAAGGTGGCAACCACAGAAAGTTAGGGGCGAAAAGAACTCTTGGTATATCGACTAATGGGCATGTAAGATAGCATTTTACATATAAGTTACTAAACTAACTTAACCAGTTGGTGGTGAGATCGCAAAATTCCCGAGTCATTTCTCGCGTCGCAATCCTACATTCGCGGAATTCGTTTAATCGTGGGAGGTCAAGTTTAAATTCTTGGAGAGAACAATTCTGAGGGCTTTCAAAAATAGACTTTTTTGAATGTGATTTACTAATTTTACTTACCAGCCACGGTTTGTAGTCCTCACTGATGATGAAATCGGCGCCATAAAGCTCGAACGAATTCTGACAAGAAAATCACAAGAACAGTTTATCGATTATTCAGCTTTAAGGTAGCTATCTGTAGACTTGCGTGGGCAGTAGTTTCAACTGATGCAACTCAGACGATGTAGAGGGTTATCCCAATGTTAATATGCAGACGAGCATGCCCTTTACTTGTTGACTCTATGCGATCTCTTCCTTCTGTGTTGGGGAACACAGGGCCTAACAGTACGTTCTGAGAGGTTCTGAGTCAAGCATTACCTTGCGATATTCCACGATCTCCTGACAAGACTGCACAGCGAAGATTACGGCCTTCTTCATTCCAGGATAAATCACATCTTCCCACATTTCACCCACACCCCTCTTCCTACAAGGACAACATTTCACAAACTCGTCAGGTTTTCAAGACATGTTATATTGTGTTATCTGAGAAGATTTGTTTTCAAACATCTAAACGTCTTCTAACGTCTAAAAAGCTATCATGTGAACCAGAAGAATATAACCTCGCTTTCTGTGTGAAGTGATGACGATACTCTCTCGAGAACGTTTGTCACCTTTTGGCCTAACCTATGTACCTGTTACATGTATTAACGAAGTAATGAATATGCTCTGACTTGCTTCTTTCAGGAGCCCATAACCCTTGGACTCCAGCCTGTATAAAAACTCTCCTTCAAACCCGGGGCAACACTTTTCTGTGGTACTATTTGTTGTGAAGTAAACAGCGGTCCTAACTTTCAAGTCTAGGCACGAATTCATCAGATACTGAGCAGTAACTTTCTTCCATTCACAATTTGGCAGAGCTAAAAGATTCAACACTTGACTGACGAGAGGGGAAGGGTTTTACTCAGAGTTAAACAATCAAAACACATTGAAAGCTAACGAGCAGTATTTTACTGTGGTTTATTCACTGTGTGAGAGTATATTCAATATGTCAGTATATACGTAAGTGGCTCTTGTACTAACTAAACAATCCAGATTAAGTCCTAAAAAAGGCTATTTGCATAAAAATATTCAAACTGTTCTCACGGTGGTTAAGTTAATCAGTTTCATAAAGGTAATTTTTGAGCCTTTTCAATTTTATTGGGTTAATAAACAGATATTAACAGCTGGACTGACTTGAGGTACGCCTTTAGATCATCGCTACTCCACATGTTATCCTCTGGGATGCGCTTGTCGCGAATTCCACTGTTCTCAAAGTGTTTCTGGATGGAGTTATTGGCCAAGTGTATGCTTCTGTAGATACAGAAATGACAGAAATTTGAAGTCATGCAAGAATCGAAAAATTGTAAATTTGAGGAAAAAATGCAAAGGAATCTTACACGTGAAAGTCCTCCAGAGAAAAATTTTGACTGCAGAATCGGATGTAGCAATCCTAGAGAGAGAAGTTAACAACGTTAAAAATTCAATGCATATACTGGTAATTGAACGTTTCTGAAACAAAACGATTAATTTAAAAGACATGGTGCTTCAGACTTTAAACCTACTCATTCAAATGGCTAATTTCTCAAGTAAAGTCTTTAGAACACGTGGTAAGTACTACACAATTCTCATTAAATGCCTTACAGAATTAACGATGTACGAGCAGTGCTTTCTGTTGGAAATAACACGGAAGGAACTATTCTAGCTCCGCGTCGCAGTTTCTAAAAATCTGTCCTAGATTTTTGCCCGCTGAGTCATCAGATCTCCTGACGATTATGACCTTAGAAGCTTGTTCAATCTTTACCTTATAAAACCACAGGGTAAGTGGATTCCAATCAGTCACAAGAAACCACTGCCTGATGTCAAATTTCACGTTGTAAATCAACAGCGGTTTTTCTGTTAAAACCAGTAATGGCGGACACATACATCCGACTGCCCAAGAACCTTCGGGTTTCTTTATGTTACCGCTATTCTTAACATCTACTCGTTTCTTACAATTACTTGTCTCTAAAACCTCTCCAGAAGAGCTCGCAATGACAATACGTGACTCTTTTGGTCGCGACAGTGAAGTTATTTTAACACTGCTGCTCTCTGGGGCAGTTTGTTGGGGTTGAGATACAATCGTGGGCTTGCTGTTACTGGGTTCAGTTGAGGTCTCCTTGTGCTTCGATGCAGGTGCTGTCCTGGGTGATGTGACATCGCTATGTCTCCTGGATTTTTCTGGTGGCTTTCGGAGTCCCTGGCCCTCCACAGCCATACTCATACCAATATATGGGGGCGCTGTAACTTGTGGCTACAAAAGAACAAACGAAAACTAACCTCTCGAGTCGACTAAAAACATTTTTCATTTTGTCCTGCTAATGTTTCGCCCGAGAGATGAAAGGAATAAGAATTTATTACTTAAAAGCACGATCATGCAGAAAGGTACCTGCTTAAACGCTAGCTCGTATCTTCCTGTTTCACAATTCTTGTCATCTCGTCGATCGAGGACCACTGAAAAAGGCAAATTATATGCACCATATTAAACACGAAGATTGTTTCACTGGAATATACATCGAGAGGTGGGATAAAAAAAGGTGTGTCTCTACCGATCAATCCTTGATGAAATGTTTGCCCCAAATTTTTGGATCAAAATCATATGAAAAGGAAGGGATGAATCTCGCGAAGGGATTTAAATAGCAGATTTTCGTCTCCCTTTGAGTGTTGAGGACTGAGGACTCATATTTCACCCATACGTCGTCGCTTAAAGTTCTGCATACTTAACCATTTAAAATAAACCAAGCACCTTCATATTGTGCTTTTGCACATTGAAAGTCACCATGGCTCTTATGTGGTTGTCTGTTTTATTTCGTACAATCTCAAATATAGCCTTAACTACGCCCATACTGGTCTTCCTTAGGGGTTTAATTTTACCGTCCATTTAAAATGGGAATTACCGCCCTCCACTCAGGTTGGGTATTAAAACCATTATCACTCTTATTCTCTTTATAGATTATTAATGATATGAAGAATTAGAGTAAGAAGAGTTTCAAAGCTCTGCATAGTTATCACATGCCATTATCATCTCTACTAGAAATACGTGTATCGCAGAACCTCGGGAAGCTCGGGGGGCGGGGGAGGCCCATAAAAAGTCAGGGATGGAAGGGGGAGGGAACTGGAGTAAATTGTGTAGCTGGGGAGGGCGAGTTTCAACACTGGCTTTAATATTGAAAGTGAGATGTCATTCATCTCCTTTTAGTTGGAGTAAATTCCAACCCAGCGCTCTGTCATTAAAAAGGATTTTCTGGGATTTAAATTAAACCGTGGAAAATCTCATACGTCCACCTTAAGAGCTTACTGCTGCGACCCCCCAAGCGAACAACACACAAATCATTGGTTCTCCTGAGGTTCCTGGGGTGTCCTATCGCTGTATAGGCATCACAATATGGATTTATGTTTGCGTCATTGTAATGGTCGCTACAAGTTTCCACATTGTGGCGCGCGCACAACAGGCCAAGAAATACCCAAATCACAGAGAACCCGTGATTTTAGAATTTCCTTGAAGTCCTTTATCCCGCAAGTATTAATTGACCAAATAAAAGGGTCTGTTATTAGCAAAATGTCCAAGTCAGATCATCGTTTCCCGGATGATGTTTAACTGCCCAGCATCTGCTCGTACTGTTTTACTTCCAATTTGTAACCTTTAAATAAGAATTCGTTAGAGGTAGTGCTCTTACCTTTCATGGTGTCCTCTAAGACTTGAGCACACAGCTTTCTAGTAACAGCCGTGCTTGGTCCCATTGTAGGGCTACAGTTTATTTCCAGCTACAAGAACGAAAAGGTGGCAACCACAGAAAGTTAGGGGTGAAAAGAACTCTTTGTATATCGACTAATGGGCATGTAAGATAGCATTTTACATATAAGTTACTAAACTGACTAGTTGGTCGTGAGATCGCAAAATTCCCGAGTCATTTCTCGCGTCGCAATCCTACATTCGCGGAATTCGTTTAATCGTGGGAGGTCAGGTTTAAATTCTTGGAGAGAACAATTCTGAGGGCTTTCAAAAATAGACTTTTTTGAATGTGATTTACTAATTTTACTTACCAGCCACGGTTTGTAGTCCTCACTTATGATGAAATCGGCGCCATAAAGCTCGAACGAATTCTGACAAGAAAATCACAAGAATAGTTTATCGATTATTCAGCTTAAAGGTAACTATCTGTAGACTTGCGTGGGCAGTAGTTTTAACTAATGCAACTCAGACGATGAAGAGGGTTATCCCAATGTTAATATGCAGACGAGCATGCCCTTTACTTGTTGACTTTATGTGACCTTTTTCCTCTGTGTTGGGGAACATACAGCCTAACAGTACGTTCTGAGAGGTTCTGAGTCAAGCATTACCTTGCGATATTCCACGATCTCCTGACAAGACTGCACAGCGGAGATTACGGCCTTCTTCATACCAGGATAAATCACATCTTCCCACATTTCACCCACACCCCTCTTCCTACAAGGACAAAATTTCACAAATTCGTCAGGTTTTCAAGACAAGTTATATTGTTTTGTCTGGGAAGTTTTGTTTTCAAACGTCTATTTTATTTGAAAAAAAGCTATAATATGAACCAGAAGAACATAACCTCAACTTCTGTGTGAAGTGATGACACTACTTTTCTCGAGAACGTTATTCACCTTTTGGCCTAACCTATGTACCTATTACATGTATTAACGCAGTAATGAATATGCTCTGACTCGCTTCTTTCAGGAGCCCATAACCCTTGAGCTCCAGCCTTTATAAAAACTCTCCTTCAAACCCGCGGCAACACTTTTCTGTGGTACTATTTGTTGTGAAGTAAACAGCGGTCCTATCTTTCAAGTCTAGGCACGAAATTCATCGGATACTGAGCAGCAGCTTTCTTCCATGCACAATTTGGCAGAGCCAAAAGATTCAACACTTGATATACGAGAGGGGAAGGGTTTTACTCAGAGTTAAACAATCAAAACACATTGAAAGCTAACGAGCAGTACTTTTATGTGGTTTATTGATTATGCTTTAAAAGTGGTACAAAAATAATTAAAAGTACTAAACAAACAATCCAGATAAAATCCAAAAATGATTCAAGGGTCAGGGGTCAAGGGTCAAGTTCAAGGGCCAAGTTAAGTTCATCAGTATTTCATAAAGATGATTTTTTAGCCTTTTTAATTTTATAGCGGGTAATAAACAGACACTAAAAGCTGGACTCACTTGAGGTACGCCTTTAGATCATCGCTGCTCCACATGTTATCCTCTGGGATGCGCTTGTCGCGAATTCCACTGTTCTCAAAGTGTTTCTGGATGGAGTTATTGGCCAAGTGTATGCTTCTGTAAATACAGAAATGACAGAAATTTGAAGTCATGTAAGAGTCGAAAAATTGTAAATTTGAGGAATAAATGCCAAGGAATCTTACATGTGAAAGTCCTCTAGAGAAAAATTTTGACTGCAGAATCGGATGTAGCAATCCTAGAGAGAGAAGTTAATAACGTTAAAAATTGAATGCATTAGTATTACTGGTAATTGAACGTTTCTGAAACAAAACGATTAATTTAAAAGACATGGTGCTTCAGACATTACACCTATTCATTTAAATAGCTAATTTCTCAAGTAAAGTCTTTAGAACACGTGTTAAGTACTACACAATTCTCACTAAATGCCTTACAGAAACAACGATGTACGAGCAGTGACTTCTGATTGAAATAACACGGAAGGAACTATTCTAGCT